TGCCAACATTTGTGAGAAACCACAGCCTTCGGTACATAGATGCCAGTGAAAATAACCTGAATGGAACAATTCCCTCAAGTTTGGGAAACTGCATCAATGTCACCTCAATTAATTTGTCAACCAACAAGTTAACAGGTGTTATACCTATAGAGTTGGGAAATCTTGTGAATATTCAAGGTTTGAGCTTGTCTCACAACCTGTTGGAAGGACCTTTGCCACCTTCCCTGTCAAATTGTGCCAAACTGGATGAATTTGATGTAGGATTCAATTTATTGAATGGTTCTGTACCTCATAGTTTGGGCAGCTGGAAAGTTATATCTACGTTGATATTAAAAGAGAATAAATTTAGTGGAGGCATCCCGGATCTATTATCAGAATTTGAAAACCTTTTACTGCTAGATCTTGGTGGCAATTTGTTTGGAGGTGAAATTCCCTCATCTATTGGATCTTTGAAGAATCTGTTCTATTCCTTGAATCTCAGTAGCAATGGGTTAACTGGCCAAATACCTTCTGAGCTGGGGAGTCTGGTCAAGCTACAGGAGTTAGATATATCTCACAATAATTTAACTGGAAGTTTAAGAGTTCTTGGGGAACTCGGTTCATCGTTAGTTGAGCTTAACATTTCAGCTAACTTCTTCACGGGCCCTGTGCCACAAACATTAATGAAGTTTCTGAGTCCTCGTCCCTCGTCGTTCTTAGGTAACCCTGGACTGTGCATCAACTGTGATGAACTAGCTGGGGATGATGGGACGGGTGGGAAACATTCTGGGAGAGAGTAATGTGAACGTGAATTTCATGAGCGTGGGGAGGACGAGGAGGAGAAAGAGGACGAAGAGCCCAATGAGGACACTCTCAGGAAAATTGGCCAAGTTTCTGCCGTTGAAGAGTTCGTCTTCCTCACCCTATAAACAAAACTTAAAAGATAAAATTTGGCTACTCACTAGTAGAGGGGAATGATAACCAATTAAGAGTCAAGTTTTATCCAAATCTAAAATCAACAAGCACCCGACATGTCGTCCCATGGTCGTTTTGTCGTCAGTCGTGTAATACTAATAGATCATTAATAAGGCAGTTGGGAGGTCAAAAAAAAATTTATTTATTTATTTTGAGTTTAAGAAACGTGGTGGTGGGATGAATAGTTTATAGTTATAGTTGCTACGGTAATAAATGTTTTATCTAGCAACTTAGTGTGCACACACATCCAACCAGTTTAATAAGTTTTCTAAATTACTTTTTAAATTTTTTTGTACTATGAAATAAATGTAACACATATGATTGGTGTTTTTTATGAGAATTGTATTTGTTTCAAAGTCGTCCAATCTAGTGGACCCAGGTTGGATTAATTTGTTTTTTTTTTATTTATTGGGTTTTATTTGAGAAATTCATTGTTCTTTTTATTAGGATAAAAATTTGTACCTCTTACCTTAATGGAGTAGTTGTTAAGTATGTTCGCATTTACTGAAAATTACTGTCGAAGAGATTCCTTTTTCTATTTTTATAATCACAGATTTTAACTAAAAGGAATGAATTTTACACAAATAATCACGTGCATTGTACGTGGAATTAAATGTTTCTTTTCTAAATGCACAAATTATTGCTAGTATTTTTTAAAAAATAGAAAATAGAAAATTAAATTTTTATTAAAAATGATGTTTAAAAAACTATAATATGAATTTACGAAAAATTTAAAGGCAAAATAAAAAAAAATACATTTTCTTCCCTGGACAAATCTCTGTTGTTTGATTGTGATGCTTCATATTGTAGTATGGATATTACCATATACGGATAATGACACTCTTCTTTATGTAACTAGATCTATTGGATTAACTTCTCTTGACATATTTACCTAAATAATTTGCTCCTGTCAACGTACCAAAAATTGAAGGACAAAATATAAATTTTTAAAAATTTAAATGGCAAAATAGGAAAGTAAAAGTCTAATTAATAATATAATACGAAAACTAACACAGTAATCTAGTATGTAAAATAATTAATGTAACAATTCAAGTAATAAATATTCATTGTTAAGTACTCAAATACGATCACAATACATAAATTATTGGTCAAAATTAATTAACTCATCAGTTTAGAAACTCAAATTAGTTAATAAAGACATAAACATAAAATAAGCATGAAATAAGGAATTTAGAAGTAGTTAAGATATATATAGCAACAATCAAGAGTCTATACTAGGAAGGATACAAACATTAAAACTAAAATAAATCATTAATATATTAATATGAAAATGTTATTTTATACTTTACCTCACCATCGAATCAAATAAATTTATGGATTTTCGGATCTTTAGTGTTTCCCATGCAAATAACGAAAACTTTTATTTCATTCTTTTTAAAAAGTTTTGATTCTTCTGCAGGTGAAAAGACTTCCTAGACATTTTGAGAGAGAAAAAATACACAATTTTATGCGTGATATTTTCTTTCATGTTATATAGATGTTTGTAATCACACCTATTTGGGAATGGATGTATTCATTTCATTGAGTCACACCTCCTGGATTAACTTATCTATCTAAAGAAAAATACTTCGGTCTGTTGTGTTATACATAAACAATTATCAATTTCAATCGCACCCATATGCGAATGAACACATTACTTCTCTCAACAGACACCTTGATCCAACAGTTGCATCCCATAAAAGAAAAAATGGAAGGCAAAGATTCTTCTCCATAACTCATTTATAGTATAGATACAGATAGATGTAAATGATTTTATTTTTGGAATTAAAAGTTTGTCATTCCTTTGCTATATGTTTTTGATATCCATCTTTTTCTAGTATAACAATTTAAAGATATCAGAATTAAACTTTCGACCTTGAGGGAAGGATTATATGACACATCCATCCATTGATTAGGATAGGATTGCTTATTTCGGGAGCCAATAGGTCAGCCCTATAATTCCATGTGCTTTTTTTAATTATTAGGTAATTTTATGTATGTTGAATTATACTATATACTATCGAGATGTGTTGTTTTACCCCCACATTTTAAAATTCTATGAATCATAATATATTGACGTGTCTTTCCTTCTAAGTATCCAATATATATCCAATTTTGTTAAAAACAAATAACTTTATATTATTTTTGAAAGAATATAGTTTGTTTTTATTTTAGTACAACAATTTGGAGATATGGAAATCGAACCTAACCACTATTGAACTATGATTATGTCGACAGATATAATTTAAGATTGATGATCAAATGTGAATTATTATTATTATTTTAAATAAATAAAAATTGGTCCAAAAAGAGAGGCGGTGGTTGAGAGTGTGAATAGAACTCCAATTGGATTCCATTGCGGCTATCCTTTTATGTTCACACTTTAGAAACCAAAAAAGTTTGACTTTCTTCTTTGTTGAAGATTTGTGGTTGTAAAATTTTTTATATTTAAAATAAATGATTGTTATGAAATTTGAATTTATAGTATAAAGAGGTATTTCCTTTTAGACATATTTCAAATTCCCTCAAAATTCAAAATTTATAAATATAAACTTTCAAACAATACTTGATATTTATTCCATAACTATCTCAATCAAGAGTTAGGGCTCTTTTATAATAACTAACATTACAAAAAAAAAAGTCAAAAATAGAAATGTGTCATTCACAATTAAATAAAATATAACAAAATTCAATTACCTAACGCATTATTAACAAAATTATACTTTGTATTAAAATTTTAGTTGACTCATATTTTTCAAAGGAATGCAATATGCCTGACTTTCGAGCATTGAACTAAAATAAATATTTTAAAAATTTTAAAATTGAAGTGTTTTTTTAGTTCAACAAATCTATGGTCAGCATGAACTTTTAACAGTCATATTAAAAAAAAATTATTTATCAAGTTCATAAACTAAAATAAATATTTTTAAAGTTTAAAAGACCAAGGTGACAAACACAAAACTCAAATATGTAAGTTATATTTAAAGCTATAATAAAAATGAAAAATATATTATTCAAACATATAATAAAAAGTGAAAATATATTTATATTTTTTAACTGCAAAATTGTAACGTCCCATGTCTAGATTTGACACCTAATTATTATGGCATTCCTTTGCAATTTGRCTGTACCACCGTCTTTACCTGAGCTACTTAGAAGAGCGAAGCCTGTTTCTAAGCCTCACTCACATGTTTCCTACTAAATCAACTAGAAGGTCATCTAGTCGAAGATTGCTACTATATGTAATCATCGAAAAGGAATGTGCACCTTATTAATATAGATAGTGACTATCAATTATTTTAAGCATTTTTTAATTAGGATCTCTCTCATTCGAATGTAATATCGATACATCTACGTACCCCTTCTCTCTACTTAGTGTCACAAAAATAATAAAGGTAAAATATATTTTTAGTTCTTGAATTCGAGAATAAAAATTTATTTAGTCGTTGAGTATAAAAATATATATCTTTAATTTGATAGTGTGACTAACAGAAAATTGACTTTAAATTTAAGAACCAGATAAAAATTCTATCCTCCTCAAACTCAAGGATAAAAATGTACTTTATCCAGAAAAAAAAAAAGAAAAGATCAACAGAGTCGTGCGGTGGACCATTTCATTTAATTTAAATGGTTGTGTCCCTACGGACATATGAATATTTAAAGCGAGTGCAGGCTGCCACTGCCAACTTCCAAAGCAAACCAAAGCAAATGCCAATCTTCGTCTCCTTCCTCCCGTTTTCCAATTCCCACAACATTCAATTCTCTGCCCTTTCCAGTTTCCACTTCAAATTCCCCAACCCAGTTCCATTCTCCATTCTCTTCTGCATTTCTTCTTCTTCTTCTCACGCACTCTGATTCTGGGTTTCGTTCTTATGCAGCTGCACCTTCTTTTCCGCCATTTCTTCTTACTGGTATGCTTCTCTTTCCATATTTATGTTCTCTCTGCTTTAACCTCCGATGGGATGGCTTTATTGTCACTCCGAACGCACTGGACTTTCCACACTCCTTTGTTCCCTATTTGGAATGCCTCCGATTCCACTCCCTGTTCTTGGGCTGGGAT